AGCTCCTCCCAGTGTGGCAGAACCCTCACCCAAAGCAGTGGAAGCCCATGGAGAAGCCAAAGGGCTGGGGGGGTCACAGTCAGCGTTTCACAGCCTCTTCCCACAACAGGAAATTGGCTGGGAAGACATCCCATTTGAAAGTTTTCCTCCAGCATTCCACGTCCAGCTACAGCTCAGGTGGTAAAATTTCAGGCAAATTTAGGACCAAGAGACAACAGAAACTCCTTACCCAGTCCAGGGAAGAACTTGGTGTCGTTTGCCACCTTCAGATCGGTGTTGGTCAGGGAGATTGGCAGCTTTGGCAGCGCCACGGCCGACACTCGGTCCAGGTCGTTGGTGGCAGACAGGATCCGCCACTTCAGGATCATGGGCTGCTTGTCTCCCACTTGGGAAAATGAGCAAATGAGTGAGAATTTTGTCCCAGAGAGATCAGAAAATCCATCCCCCGTTTCTGCCCACACTCCCTCAAGCAGGATCACAGATCAGGCACTGGTATATTTCCCGCATGTTTCCCTCATATTTCCCTATTTTTTTTCCTGAATTATACAAACAACATGTTTTGCTAAATCTCTTTTGATGAGAAGCTCTGCTCTGAGTGATTAAGATCCTTATATACAATAATCCTTTATATTTCACCAAACAAACTGCCCCGATTAATTCAGCTCTATCTGAGATCAGGTGCAGCCCAGGCAGCCAGGGCATGGGATTAATCCAGCTCTGCTGCTCAATCCTGGTCCTTTGGGAACCTTTGCTCCACGGCAGCAGGAAGGGCGGCTGTGTAGCAAAACACAGAAAATGTCTTTTAAGAAGTGAAAGCAACAACCAAACCCCTTCCTGGAAACAGCAAGTTGCTGCCTATGCTGCAAACAGAATGGACTGAGAACACCTGAAAATAAACATGCAATTCTGAATAATCCCATACATGGGATAATGAATGTGAGAAACTGTGCTGCTTTTTCCCTCAGAACAAGCTCCTGTTCTTGAGAGTCCCCAGTGCAGACACTTACCCACGGGAGAGATTTGCTGGAAGATGTTGTTGACAGGCAGGCCCTCCTTCCTAAGAGACCAGCATTCCACAATGCTGTTGTTTTGGTTGGAAGCACAAAGCAGCACCTGCAGAACAGAGCCCCCCCACCACAAGTGTCACAACAGGGAGGACACTGCCCTGATCATTCCCACCCTTCATTTTCAGGGTCCTGCTCCCACTCAGGTCATGCTCCACCAGCAAAAAAGCAGAGGATCAAGTGGGAAGTGATGGTGAGGTCCCTAATTCCCCCCAGAAGTGCAACTAGGAATGCCAAGGGTATTGTAGGAGATGCTGGTCACCTCCAGACCCTCTGAGGAAGGCCAGGTGGAGCTAAGAGCAGCTGCCCACCTGCTCTGACATGTCCCGAGCCAGGAATTTCAGGTGGGTGATGGCCGGGTACTTGTCCTTGCGCGCGGGGTCCGTGGTGCAGCGCATGAAGAGGGACGGCAGGATCTCAGTGTCGATCTTGCACTTCTCGTTCACCACACTGACACACACCTTGTAGAACTGCACGGGGGACGTGCTGCTGCCATCAGACGTGGCCACCACGATGTTGCCCCCGCCCGTGAAGGCGACGTCGGCCAAGGCCACGCGGCAGCGGAGGCGGCACAGGCTCTCGGTGGCCGTCAGCACCTGCCCGTTGGGCTTGAGGAGGGACACGGTGACCAGCCCGCTGATGGTCACTGCAATCCAGCCCTCCATGGGCTTCCCACCAAACAGCGTCAGCGACGGAGAGAATTTCACCCGGGAAAACTTCTCGCCGAAGTTCGAGGCTCCAGACTGTAACGAAGGTCAACAAAACCTAGGTGTTTGCACCCAAAATTTGTGCCTGTGGAGCTCTTCTCGTAGAAGAGGAGCAAGATTTATGTGGGACATCTCAGGAGTTAAAAAAACACAAGCAGGAAATTTGTGCTTGGCAGCTTTGGGCTTTCAGAGTCTGCAGAATCACACACGTTTCCAAACAAGGAGCTCATCTCCATGGCCAAATCCCTGGATGAAACCTTGGCACCCCGAATGCATTTCCTCTGAATTCCCACTGGTTAGGAAAGAACTGCTCTATCTCCATGTTCCTGCCTAGAACTGAGGTACCAGACTAAGGGAGACACATTTGAAACACTAAGATAAACAATGGTCCAACCCCCCTTGGAATTCAGCAGGAACCAGGAATCTGACTTCTCTTTGACTGGAAAAACTCTCCAAGGCCACGAGAGAGTCCAGAGAACACAGAGAACAGAGAACACAGAGAACATAGGCAGGATCCTGAGGTTTTGCCAAGACCTGAGCCAGAGTTCCAGCCCAGATCCCTCACGAAGCTGAGACAAACCTTCTCCACGTGCAGCGCCAGCTTGACGCCGTTGTGCAGCCAGGACAGGGCCACCACCGGGTCTCCCTCCACCACGCTGCCCACCGTGTTCTCCCAGCTGTTGGCCAGGTGATCTGTCATGCTCCAGCACTTGATGTGGCCATCAGCATCTGCAGAGAGCAGCCTGGAGCCTGTGACAATGGCACTGCATGAGCACAGGGGGAACAGCCTAATCCCCATAAGGAATTGCACCCCATTGCTTTGGGACATGCACAGCATGGGAGGGACACAGTGACAATGAGGGATCCCAACCTACCTGACTGATCCCACTCCAAACACGTGATGACTTCAGTGTGGCCTGAGTTGACAGAGTAGACGTCCCAGGGGTGCTCGGTGTCAATGATATGGACCATGTGGGTGAGATCTGCACGGACAGAGAAATGACTCCCTGTACCTTGTCACTGTTTCTGAGCCTCAGAGCCTCAGTTAACACAGGGAAAATATGAAATATTTTATAGAAATTATCTGCGGTAGCGTAGCAACTGTGCTGGGAGATCAGTGATGGGCCAGACAAGGACGTGGGCCTGGTCCTGGTTTAGGGAAGTCAGCCGTGGCTTAGGGGAACCAAACCCACTCCCCAGGAACAAACGCGTGTTAGACACCGCCAGAGGCTGAGGGATGGAAGGAAAAGGAGGAACAGTAGCCGGCAGCTGTCAGGGGCAGGGCAGAGTTCAGGCCCAGCGGATCCTGGACTTTCCCAAGAGCACCGGGAGCTTGCAGGAGAGATTCCCCAACGGGCTCGCGGTACCTTTCTCCTCCTCATTGCGGAGGTCGGTGGTGAAGGCGATGAGGTTGCGGCAGGACCAGGCGCACACGAGAGGGATGGACGGGCAGTGGTTGCTCTTGGGCTTCTTCTCCCACTCGCACACGTACGCCAGGTCCATCCCGCCGGCCCGGCCCCGGAGGAGACACGGGACAGCCTCGGTCCTGACAGGGGGCGACACAAAGCCAGTCACAACGGGAACGGCACGCACGGCTCGCAGGGACCCCAGCCCCAGGGACTATGGGGAGGGGACAGCCCCCGGGACACGGGTGGAGACAGCCCCGCACCGGGAGAGACCGGGGTGGTGGCGGAGGGAGAGAGCCGCGGGTACCGGCCCTACGTGTGGGTGGGAGGGTCCGGAGGACGGACTCGAGGTGGGCACGGGGAGGTGCCGGAGACTGGGGGGCTCGCAGGAAGGTCACGGGAGGGGCCCGGGGCTGCCACGGGAGGCTCCCCGGGCGTCCCGGCCCGGCCGCACTCACCGCCTCCCGCCGCTCCCCAGGACCCCGGCGCCTCCACGGACTGCCCGTCCCGCGCCTGCGCCTCGCGCTCAGGCACCGCTGCGGACACCCTCAGAGGGCCAGCCGGTGGCTTCAATTAGCATAACAAGTTACCCAGAACCCACCGGGCGGACATTGCAATTATAATCGATAGATTTCGGACATTTTGGGGAAGTCTCAAGAAAATAGGGGGCCAAAAGACTGAGAGAAACTTGGGGAGCTCATTATGCTTTCAATATCGAACCATATTGTAGTCACTCTATTGTGAATGTACTGCTTTTCCAAGCCTTTAAATAGCTCTGCGGGTGCACGCTAGATCGTGCTCGCTTCGGCAGCACATATACTAAAATTGGAACGATACAGAGAAGATTAGCATGGCCCCTGCGCAAGGATGACACGCAAATTCGTGAAGCGTTCCATATTTTTCGCACCTCCCTGCACCCACCTTTTGCAGCCCGCGGCAAACCGGCTGCCCCGCGACCTCCCCAATACCCCTCCCCGTCCCCATAGAGAGACAGACAGAGCCGGAGCAGGGGAGCACCGTCTTTATTTTTCCTGGACGCATCCGTACCCGACTCACACCGGCAAAGGAGGCGCGAGGGGCTCCCCTGGGTCTGGGGGTCCCCAAGGTTAATGGCAGTCGGTGTCGTCATGGGACAGAGCAACCAGCAAAGAGCCCCCAGCGCACACCCTGCGAGCAACCCTTGGCACATGCCAGGGACACGGAGGGCACACAGAGAGACCCCCAAAATGCCCCGTCTGCCCCCATGACAGCTGTGGACAAGCAGAGAGAGCCCCGAAGGCGGCTGCACCCCTCCAGCACGCACACACACACACACACACTCATGTAAATATACACACACGTGATAAAAAAACACAAGCTATATTACACTTAAAAACAGCCCCGTCGTGCGGGCAGGGCACAGGGCGTGGGGCAAAAGTACCCGGAGCTGCCCACACCCCGCCCTGCCCGAGGGGGCCGAGCCCCCCTGGACACCTCGTGGGCGCGGGGCTGCGGGTGCCGGAACGCGGCAGCCCCCAGGCTCTTCCGCCGGCTCAGCGATTGCTCAGCAGCCGCCAGGAGCTGTTTCACCGCAGAAAAATCTGGACCGAAATCACCCCACGAGCGTCAGCGCCAGAGGGGGGCTGGCCCCGCCTGATTATTTTTAAAAACACCTGGGTTATAAATAGACACACAAACAGTTCCAGGAGGGCTGCGCGGGGAGCAGGGCGGGCGAGAGGCACCTGCTCCTCGGGCAGGGCACAGCCACAAGCCCTCGGCTCTGCCCCGCCGGGCACCGGCTGCTGGGGCAGGGGAAGGGCCGAGGGTCCAAGGGCTGCACCAGGGCTGCAGGGCCGGGGAGAGGCTGCAGCGGACACAGGAGGGGCTGGGCAGCTGTCGGGGCATCAGCTCATCTGCCCCAGGTAGTCTGAGAGCAGCAGCTCGGGGGGCAGGAACACGCGGTGTTTGTTGCTCACTTTCATCTGACGTTTCCCTTCGATGTCCGAACCTGCGGGTGCGATGGAGCAGTCAGCACGCCCCTGTTCCCCCCGCTCGGGGGTCTCCAACACGGCGCTCCCAGCCCAGCCACCGCCCTCCCCTCCTCCCTGGGGCTCGTGGCGAGCGCAGCCTCCCCCGTGCTGTGTCCCCGCTGTCCCCATCCGAGTCCCTGCCGGCACCACGGGCTCGCTCCCCATCATTATCGCTCTCAGGCTGTTTGCCACAAGCGGCTCCTAATGAAACGCTCGGCAGCGGAGCCTCTGGAGGGATGGAGCCTGATGCCTTCCCTGCCTTGGCAACAAAACCTTCTGGGGACGCCCAGGGCAGCGCGAGAGCACGGCTGCTCCTTGGGAGGAGGAAGCAGCTAAAGGAGAGGGAACCCCGCGAGCAGATTCTTGCTTTGGACCACCCAAATTTCCCGTCAGAGCTGGGTCCGGCCGATCCCTGGTTGTGCGGCTGCAGTCACCGCTGGTGACCACGGCCGGGGCTGCCCAGGGAGCTGCGGGCAGCGGTGGGAAGGAAACGGGAAGGGGGAGACCGCGGGGTTATCTGTGAGCCCCAGGGCGAGGTGGAGCCGGGAGGAAAAGGCTGAGCTGGAGAGTAGAGATAGCGATGGAGGGAAGGGGAAAAACAAAAACAAAATCAAAATTAAAAACAAGCAGACACGTGGCTCTTACTGGCAGAGACGAGATCCATGTACTGGCAGAGTGCGTGGAGCAGGAGCCGCTCAAAGCTGGGGGAGAGGGGACAGGGTTAGAGCCAAGGTGTCTCTTGACCAGTGTGTCCCCACGGGCTGCTCTGCCCTCCATCCTCCCAGGGACCCACAGAGCAGATGGAGAGCACAAAGTGCCACAAGTCCCTGTGTAGGGATCCCCAGGTGCATCCCTCCCCCAGGGGCACCACGGGGACCAGGCCAGGTGGGTGTCCCCAGGTGGAGACCCAGGCCCAGCTGAGGGGAGGTCAAGGCGCCTCCTGTGCTCCCAAAGATCCTGTGCAGCCTGGGGGAGCCCTGGGGCACAGGGAACCCCAGAGCCCAGGACCCCCAGATAAGGAAATACCTGTTGTCCATCAGTGCTGTGTACACGGAGTGAGGGGTGACAGAAAAGAAAGCCAGCAGCTCCTCCTCCAGCCCCTCCAGCGTTCCCTGTGAGGAGAGGCAGGGGCTCAGCAAGGAAGGGGCAGTGGTGGGCACAGCCCTGGCACACTTACTGCCAGCAGCTCCTGGGCAAGTTATCTGGGTGGGAGACAGCAGGGAGAGGAGACATCTCCCATCTCCAGCCCCCAAGGCAGGGAAGGATCCAGCTCCTGCCAGCTCCACAATTTGTGTGCCAAGGGCTGGCACCGTCCCTCGTGCTCACAGCAGCCAAGGGAGCCTCGTGCCTCCCGACAGTCAAAGAGAAGTGCTCTGGTGGTCTCCAGAGCACTGTGACCCCAGAGACGAGCAGCACACACGTCTCATTTGAGGACAAACAAGCTAGTGGGCAGGAGGAGCCCAGGCTGCATTTAGAGGCTCTAATTAGCACCAGGAAAACAAACAGAGCCCCACAGAGCAGAGGGAGCAGGGAGCCAGCATCCCTAGGGCTGGTAGAGCAAGTGTCTAGGCAGGCAGTGCAGGGCTGCACTCACCTCTCCTCTTCCTGCTCAGCACTTGGTGCACTTTTACCCCCTTTCAAAATACATTGGAGTTTTCCCAAATAGCCTTGTGTGGGCCACTGTGAACACCCTAAATGTTCCACTGCTATCCTCATGCACAAAAATGCCTGGATTCACCTGTCACCTGCTGCTCATTGCACAGAGACTGGAAACAACTAAAAAAAAAATCCCTCTAACTGCCAGAAAAATCTGAACTGAGCCAGGAAAACCCATCTGCCGGGAGTGGGATGTCTGTGTGCAACCAGCCACCACTGCAGGGTCACACGAGCAACAGAGCACATTCCCAGGAGCTCCTCTGAAATTTGGCACTGCCCTGCACAAGGTCGGGGCACAGTTCTGGGGAGGACGTGGAGTGTGGAGTGACCCCTGCCAGCCCCAGCCCTGCTGTCCCAGGCCCCCAGCTCACCATGGGGATCCGGCCCCGCTTCAGGGTGGCGCGCAGGCGGCGGCTGATGCGCTGGAAGCACTCCTGGGGTGTGTAGGCTGGGAGCTCTGGAGAAGGGAGAAGGGATTCACACACAGCTCACAGCTCCACAGCCCGCAGTGTCACCTTTCAGGAGGACCCAGTGTCCCCTTAGCTTCCCCGCGGGGCTCCCTGGCCACCCCTTTCACAACAACACCCTCCCCAGCAGAGGAGTTTTGGGGGTGCAGAGATTTGAGGGTGTGACATTGGAGGATGGCTGCTGTGGCCATCGCCCCAGCCACTTCTGGTTCCCAAAACCCCTCCCTGCTCCATGGTGGACGTCTGCAGGCATAACCCCCCCCACTGCTACACCCATGGGGTGGGCTCAGACATCCCCTGGCCCCATCATTAACAGGGAGTGGGTGCACCCTCAAGGAAGGTCACCCTTCCCAGAATGTACACAAGGAAGGAAAGGGAGAGGCTGTCCCCACCCTGTGTCCCCTCCCAGCACCTTTCCACTTGTCTTCATTCTTGACAGGCAGCTTCCTCCTGTGCTTCTTCCTGGCCTCCTCCTCCAGGTAGAGCAGGACCCGCTCCTGCTCTTCTCCCGATCGGTTCATGAAGTCATTCCAGATCTGACAAGAGAAGCCACTAAGTCCCACTACAGAGGTCTGTAGGGAGCACCTGGCAGTGCACAGTCCCATGGAGCCCCTTCCTCACCCACTCGTCCCCAGGGACAGCCTTGAGCGCAGCACCAGGGAGAGGCCACGTTTCAAAACACCCGGTTACAGGGCCAGCGTGAGGCAACAGGGATTTGGCAAGGGGCTTGTGCCAGAGGAAGTGCTACAGCTCACCAGGCACCTGCTGCTCTGCAGGCACAGCTCTTCGTGAGAGGATCTGCCTGGAGATTCCCCCACCCCATAGACTGGGGGCCCCAGGACTCCATCAACCCCCTGGCACACAGCAGATCCCGCAGATCCCAGCCTGACACCAGACCAGGCAGAAGCTGGGGTGCAGCAGCGCAGGCCAGGGAGGCCGAGGGATGGAGGAATGAAGTACAAGCATGTCATGCCATGCCAAGGCTTCCCAGTGAGCCACAAGCCAGTACCCACCTCCACATAGGTCTCATTGTTACAGGCCTCGGTGAAGATGCTGGGGGGCGCCGAGTGGGTGAGCTCTCCCTCGTCACTCCCGCAGTCATCCTGCTCCAGAAGGGTCATCAGGTAGCGAGCTGGGGAGAAGAGAAGAGCCTGAGCGGGGAGGAAGCACCTCCAGAGAGGCCCCTTGCCTCTTGGAGGAAGCAAGGAACCATGATTAGCACCACTACTATGATAACTAAAATGTACAAACCCATTTTTAAAAGCCTTTTCGCCCATGATGTTAAATTCAATCAATCAAACAGATCATCTAACCAAGTTCCATCATCAATTCTAATCTTTGCTACACCTTCCTTGAGTTGTTGTATGCTTTTGTGGATGGATTCTGAATGATCAGATAAATTCATACAACACATTCCTTCAAAATCTTCACATCCATGTGCTAATAAAAGAAAATCAATTGCAGCCCTGTTCTCCAAAGCTGCATGTCTATTAATGTTAACATCTGTTAAACATGTCAACTCAATGCAAGGTAAGTAGAATTGGTCTCCTTACAGGCTCCCTTGACCAGTGACACCCCTTGTCCTTGCCCTGGGGAAGAGACCCTGGCCAGGTCCTTACTGTTTTCCAGCCTCTGGAGGCTCTTGCGGCCCTTGGCCCTCGGGATGAGGTCGGAGTTGCGGATGGCCTTGTTGATGTAATACTGCTTCCTCTTGGACGGGGAGAACCGCTTGGATGGGGAGTCCTCCAGCAGGGGTAGGCAGTCCTCGATCCTCCTGCAGGGACACAGCGGGAGGGATGAGCCCACCTGAGGGGCCTGGGGCAGCTACAGCAGCGTGAGGACAGGGGGAGATGGGGCAGCAGAGCATCAGCCCCGCTGTTACTGCCACTGGCACCGCATCCTCCCATGGGGACTGTCCCCCTCGGGTCACCGCCACCTCCAAGGGCTGGCTCTGCTCAAAGCAGCTGTGTGTCAGCACTGGAAGGGCCAGGTAATTAACCTGGGTAATTAATGAGGCAAAACAATGGATCCATTCCTGCTGGGCCCCTGCTGCACCTCACGCTCATCCTGGCTGGATTGGCAGCAGCCCTGCCATTCCTCATTGAGGGCAGCAGGAACATTGCCCCAGCCATGGCACTGTCAGCTCCTGGGGGCACCAAAAGGCTCTTGGCTTCTGTTCACATGGTCAGGGTGTTACTTAGTCACAGGCACAACTTAGGAATGACCATAAAACTGAGGCATTTTATGGGAAAATGAAGCCACATGACGAGCGAGCGAGCAGCTTGTTGGGTGCAGAACGCAACTGCTTGGGTTACAAAGTTTACTAAACACCAAAGACAGGAAGTTTCACTGCCTTCACTTGTGAAGGAGCTTCCTCTCTGGGTTGTGTGGGTTTCCTTTAGCGCAGCAGAAGGTGGGGGAGAAAATTAACATCCCCAAAACAACCCCCAGGACTGTCCATCCACGACAAAGGAGCTGCAGCACAGCTGCCCAGAGTGACCACTGTTTCCACTGCCACAGCAGCACCACGGCCTTGCTCCATCCACAGGGCCATGTCCCCACATTGTCCCCTTCTTTCCAGCATTCTGGGGCTCATGGGAGCCCCAGTCCTGCAATCAGGTCCCAACAGAGCTGATCTGGGCACAGGACAGGGCAGGTTGTGCTGTCCGATTGCAGCCTGGGCCAACAGCCAGCTGCTCACCCTCGCCAAAACCTTGATTTTTTTTTTCCCCTTTGCTCACATGAGGGCAGTGATACAGTCTTGGCTGCTGGGAGGGGGTAAATAAACAAACACCCCCTTCCAAGCTGGAGAGAAAACCATGACAAAGGTGGACTTGGAAAGAATAAAAGAGACTCAAGTATCAAGGCAATGCCCAGAGCATGGGTGGGGAGTAGTAACCTAACCTGCCACAGCGAGCAACAAGGGCTGGTGGATCAAGTAGTGATACAAAGATGGTCACAAAAACCTGAATAAACAGAGGGAGTCACCTTACGCTGGCCCCAGCTCGGGGGTTTGAGTACACAGCTGTGAGCCTGGCACTCCCTGGAGCCAGCACGGCTCACCAGCACAGCCCGAGAAAGGGATGCCAAAAACCAAAGTCAGCAGGGTGGGAGCACCCCCGGGACCCCCCGAGCCCCGTGGCTGGGAGGGGAACAGCCTGAGCCATACTCGGCTCTCTTCCTGAAGCCTCCAGGGCTGTTTGTGGCTGCCCTGGCACCCGGCACTGCCACGTCTGCCCTGGCACTGCCACCTCCGCCCAGTGCCAACCTGGAGGTTCACAGGGGACAGTGACCTCGGTCCACTGCCCCCAGACGGAGTGACCTATGTCGGACAAGCATCGGTAGCCTCTGAGTCAGGGTCCTGTGACCAGCTGGGTCAGGCTGAGAAGGGACCCCAGGAGAGGTTCATTCTTGGGGGACCACAGCAAACCATAACCCCAGGGCAATGGGCCCGGCAGCTCCGGGGACACCGGAGCACAGACAGATTTGTGGCTTCTCCTCCACGTCCCATTTCCAGGCAGGGAATGTGCCTGTAAGAAAAACTTGTTCTCTGCCGGGGGATTTCTGACCTATTCCTGTCATTTGCCCTTTGGCAGCAGAACGCAGGAGGGACCTGCACAGCAAAGTCGCCGCGGGACAGCCGAACCTGTCAGGGATCTGTCAGGGTCGCGAGTCCCCGGTACACCCATGCAGGAGCGGAGGGCTCCAGCCCAGCCCCGGCACCCCGAGGGACCCCGGCCCGGGTCGCCAGCCCCGGTGACCGGGAGCACCATGACTTCCACGGGATAAACACTAATTATAAGGCTCATTATCGCGATGCCGGGCTCCGCTCTGACACAGCCCCGGGGCCGGGGAGCTGGGGACGGGCTGTCCCGGGAGGCGCCGCCGCCGATCCCCGCCCGCACTGACAGCCCGGGAGGCTCCGGCCCGGCCCGGCCCGGCCCGACCGCCCCATGGCCCGCCCGGCCCCGGGCCCGCACTCACGGGAACGGCTCCTCGGGGCCCGCGCCGCCCCGCAGCACCACCATGGCCCGCTGGGATTGGGACGGGGACCGGGACGGTGACCAGAACCGGGACCGGGACCGGGATCTCCTTCCGCCTCCTCCACCCCCGGTCCGCACCGGCGGTACCGGGCCCGGCACCGCCCGCGGGAAGTGACGTAACGGGGGCGGGAGCACGGGAGCCCCACCCCGGGCGTCGCGGGAGGTGGGGCACGGGGGGTGCTTCGGGGAGCCCCTGGAACCGGGGTTCGGCGGCTGTCGGACCCCATTAACTCCGCGTGAATCCCCGTTGTCCCCCGTTACCTCCCTCGTTGATCCCCGTGAACCTCCAGTTAACCCCCGTTAAAGCCCCATTAACATCCGTTAACCCCCACTAAACCCCCCGTTGCCCCCCGTTAACCGCCCCCCCTCCGCTGCTCTACCGGGGCCCGTGCCCTGCACGGCGCCATTCCCCCGCCCGTCCGCGAGGCGGCGCTGCGGCCACGCCCCCGCCCGGCCCCGCGGCCCCGTGGCGCGCAACATTTGCATGCCGACCAATGGCGGCGGGGGGCGGGGCGCTCCTCGAGCGGCAGGCCAATGACAGCGCGGGGCGGAGAGGGGCGTGGCGCTCCAGGCACAGCGGGCCAATGGAGGCGCGGGGCGGGGCCCTGAGGGGCGGGGCCAGGTCCCGCCGCCCGCCCGCCGCCCGCCCGCCCGCGGGGAGAGCAGCGCCGCGGGCCCTGCGCGCACCGGCCCCGCCGAGCCCGGCCCCGCCGAGCCCGACCCCGGGCGGCCGCGGCTGCTATGCGGCTTCGCGGCGCACGGCCTGCACCGGGTAAGGGGGACGCGCCGCCGCACCGGTCCCGCGGATGGGATCGGCACCGAGAACGGGACCTCGGCCGTGGCCGGGACCGGGAGTCGGGGGCTGGGTGGGACCGGGGACCGGAGCCCAGGACTGGCCGCCTCTCCGAGGTGGGCTGGGCCCTCCGCTGCCGGTGCTGAGCGGGAGCGCGGCGCCCCCTCCCCCCGCGGCCGGTTACCGGCCGCCTCCCCCACGCGGGGCTGGGGTTCCTTCCCCGCGGCCGTTCCCGGCCTTGACTCTCCGTTCTCCCCGGGCAGTGCTGGCGGGGCCGGGCAGAGCCCCGTGGCCCCGCCCTGTACTCCCCTCAAGCCCGTGGTCTCCGGGGTCTGGACGGCGGAGGGGCCAAGACTGGGCCGTCCCGGGCTCCCCTCTGCATGTCGGGGGCGGCCGTTTCTCCCCGTTCGCGGGACCTGGGCCCATTTGGGCCCCGCCGCCTCCGTAATCGGTCCTTCTGAGCGTCGCCGGTGCCACGTGCCGCCGGGAGCGGGGCCGGGCTCAGTTTCGGCGACGGGACTCCTGTCCGCCTGGGGGTCCCTCCCGAGGCGTCCCCAGCCCAGTCCGTCCCCGAGGACAGCACCCACCGGCCCCGGCCTCCTGTCCTTCTCCTCCTCTTCCTCACTCAAACCTCCACGACACCCCCAGAGCCCTTCCCGGCAGTGCCGAGAGCCAGCCTGGGGGTGTCCAACCGCAGCCAGCCCAACCCCGGTGTCGGTGGCACAAAGGCCCGTCCGTCACACCCCCGCTGCCTATTTTTAGCCGCTGTCGCTCTCGAGCACCTGCCCCGGGTGACGCCGCCCCGAATCCCTCGCGGGACCCCCGTCACCGCCCCACGGCGGGTACGCACCGGGCCCCGTGGCCCTGAGCAGCCAGAGGGACAAAGGGGCACGGCTCAAGGTCACCGTGGCCGCCGGGCCGGGGTGCCACAGAGCCCTGGCTGTGGCCTCACCACTCCGGCTTCCCTGTGGAGAAGTGGCAGCGTGGCTCCGGCGCGGCCACGGCCGGCTGTGCTCGAGGAGGCAGCTCCACACCTGGTTCTGGCACCGAGTCACTCGGGGAGTCGTGGCCGGGCAGAGCCACAGCGGCGGCGAGGAGCACGTGCCTGGGTCGGTCTCGCTCCGGTTCGCTCGTGGATGGCGCAGGGCACGGGGTTCAGGTGCGGTGCAGGGCAGGAGCGCGGCCACGGCTGGTGAGCTCCGGGGCGGGGAATGTCCCTGCCGCGACCTCTCCTGCGTGAGGGCGAGACGGCGATGATCAGAGTAGAGGAGAGGAAACTGAGGCACGGGCAGTGCTGGCCCACTTGTGCCGCGCCTCTGCTGGCTCCCGGGGGAGGCGGTGGCTGCTGAGGTGCCGTGGCCGTAGCGACGTGTCCATCCATAGCGTGAGCCGAGCCCGGCCGGGCCGGCAGCGGATGCAGCCGCGGCGAGGCGTGGGGGAAGCTGCTCCCGCCCGATCGTCCGCGTCCCCGGCCCACATTGGCAGCAGGTTCCTCTTTCCAGAATGCGCGGGATCGTGGCGTAGCTGCCGGGCCCTGCGCGCTGCCGGCTGTCCTGGCCCCGCAGCCCCTGGGTCCGGCCCCATGGTCGGTCCCCGTGAGGGTCCTGCCCTGTGTGCGCTGCACGGGCCCCCGAGCAGCTGAAACGGGGTTTGCCCGTACACGGCACGGCAGCGGTGCTGCGGTGAGCTCCCTCCCTGCCCTCAGCGCAGGCGAGGTCATAACTGGGAACCAGCCGGCCACGGGGGCTGCTGGCCGCACCAGGGCTTGGGAGCTCAGTGCTAGAAGGGGTCTAGGGGGTTCCGCAGGACCCAGTTGTAATGTGCTGAAACCCTCAGTGTATTCCGGGGGCAAAGAAGAGATGAGCTGCTTGCACGCTTACATTTCCTCAGAGGGCCCCCAGCCCTCAGGGAAGGGAAGCAAGGGAGCTCTGGGGGCGGTTGGCAGAGCCTGTTTGCCAGGGTTTCAAGGCTCTGCCTGTCCATCCCCTGGGATCTGCCCCGGGGTGCTTTGGGGCCCCTCCACCGTGCAGTGCAGACCCCAGTGCTGCTCACGCCCCAGTGCCATCAGGATGAGCCCAGTGCTCCCTATGCTATCCCTGGTGGGGATATGCCTTGTCCCCTGTGGGGGACCCGGTGGACATCTCTCCCCAGTGCCTGTTATCTTCGGGTGCGGGTCCACCGGTATCCGCTGCCTGCAGGGCCGGGCAGGGCTATCGGGTCCGGCAGGCCCCTTCCCCCTCCAGCAGCAGGCCCAGCCGCCCTATCTCATTAGCTCGAGATTAATGAGGCTCCTGCGCTGTCTTTAACTCCTTCCTGCTCGCCAGCTCCTGCCCACAGCTCCACTGACCTTCTGCTCTACTTCTCCTACAGGTTTGCGCCGACGCCTGCCGGACACCGACCCAGCTGAGGATTAGGGATACCAGCCGTGAGCAAGGGACCCTGAGGCACCACAAAGTGCCAGGTCTGCAGGGGAAGGGGTGATGCACCGTGCTGCAGCTGTCGCCTGCTGAACCTGAGGAGTTTTGGAGCCTGCCTGGGACAACAGCAGCACCCCAATCCCAACGGGCAGCACTGAGCCTGTGCCACGGCGTAGCCCTCAAGCCAAGGGACATTGGGCCGAGCCTGAGAGGGGTCACGGGGCACGTCCTTCTTTCCTGACGCGGTGTCAATTCCTGCCCTGACACCCCGACGGCACTGCCCCTCACCCCCCGGCAGCCCCTTCCAGGGCTGCCCCACCCGGCACTGCCCAGCTTTGGCCCCCAGCCCCGCTGGAGCGCGGCAGCCTGCCGGGCGCTGCCCCCCGGGCACTGCCCCCTGGGTGCATCGCCCCCCGCCCGCCCGGGGACCCCCCACCCGCCGGCAGAGCCATGAAGCTGCAGGCGGTGATGGAGAACCTGCAGCGGCAGCAGCGCGCGCGGCTGCAGCAGGCGCTGGAAGCGCGGCAGCAGGAGCAGCAGCCACCACGCTCCACGTCCCCCCCGGCACAGCCCTCGCAGCCCTCGGGGCAGCCCCCTGCCAGCAACCCGGCCCGGGGCCGCGGGCAGGATCCAGCCCCGGCGCCCTCGGAGGAGGGAGCGGAGCCTGAGAGCGCGCACATCCAGCGGGCACAGATGGCCGCCCTGGCTGCCATGCGGGCGGCTGCTGCTGGCCTCAGCCACTCGCCCAGCCCGGGGCTGTCGGACGAGAGCCAGGCCTCCGAGGAGGAGGAAGAGGAGGAGCGCGGCGAGGAGGAGGAAGATGGCGGCGGGTACCAGCAGGAGATGGGCTCCGAGGAGGAGGAGGACCTGTGAGTGTACTTGGGCAGTTCTCATGGGTTTGGGGAAGGGGCAGGGAAGTGGCACAAACACTAGTGAGTTTGGGCACAGTGTGCTGGGGAGACTGCGGGGATCCTGCGGCTTGGGGCAGGTGGTGGATTAGAGCTATCGGGATATTTCAGAGCAGGAGGTGCTGAGAGCAGCAGCTCAGCTCTGTGGCCGTGATTCCTCATGCTGGGTTGGCACGACATCCCGTCTCTGCCCAGCAGCCACGTGGGGCTGTGACAGAGGACCCCAGGCTGGCATTAAATTATGCAGGACCCTTGGCTGCCTCCAGTGTGCATCCTCTCAGGGCAGGGCCAGGCCAGGAGCCATCTGGCAGAGCTCCGTGATGGAGCTGCTCCAGAGATGCTGGGGATCGGCTATGCCCCGCAGAGCTGCCCCTGCCAACGGGCTGTACTGGGCTCTACTGTGTGCTGGGTGGGTGGTCCCAGCCCCGCAGCTGGGGAGGGCCTGTGGGGTGGGCAGGAGAGAGGGATGGGCCTTGGGAACCAGTGTGGGACCAAACCTCTCCTCTCCCCCCGGTTCCAGAAAGGGCAAATGGGATGAAGATGACTTTGAAGAGGACCTGGGTGAGGAGGAAGAGGAAGAAGAAGAGGAGGAGGAAGAGGAAGACTATGAGGAAGAAGACATGGGAGAGGAAGGGCTCAGCTCAGCAGAGGCGGTGCGGGCGGGCGCGGGATCCTTGCTGCTCCGCAAGCCCCCAGCACCCCAGCACTACCGGGGGGAGCCACCACGGCTGCCGGGAGGACAGGAGCGGCTGCCCCCCGGCCTGGGCCACACTCAGCCCCCACCACCAGCACCTGACCACGGCGACTGGACCTACGAGGAGCAGTTCAAGCAGGTATGTGCCCACCAAGACACACGTGTCCCTACCGTGCCATCCCTTTCCCTGCTCCTGCGCACCCGTGTGTCCTCGCGAGCGTGGGGAGATGCTTCTGGCAGTGCTGCCTCCAGCAGTGTTCTCCTCAGATCCAGCTGCTGTTGTCGTTAGGAATGCGTGGGATTTCTCCGGGGTTTTAGTGCCGGGCTTGGTCTATCCCCCTCCCTGGTTGGGTGACTCCGAGTGGATCTTGTGTCAGGGTAGTTCTGGCACAGGTAGACAGTGTGATGGGGTTTGCTGCAGGGATCTTGGATGATTCTTGCTGAAAATTACGAAAAGAATCACCCCAAACTCGCTAATCTGACAGGTCTCTTGGTTTTCTTCTCCACTCTCCCCAAGCCATTTTAAATGGGGACCTGTCTGTCTCCCATCACTGTCGCTACAGAGGTGATGCCTGTCAGGACAATTCGAGCCCCATGCATGCTTGCTAGGGGGCAGAACTGCCCCCCTGCCTCTGCCAAAAAGCCATGAAAGAGTGAAACCAGGGAGAAAGCACCTGGCTGCCCGCTTCATTGCCTTCCCCAGGCAATGAGACCAGCATGTTCCCACTCTTCACGGCGCCAGAGCTGGCTGCACTCCGCTCTCGCTGATAGAAGAAAACGTGCTGCAGCCAGGGCTCCCCGGGGGCCGCCCGGCACCTTTGATGTGTGTTTAAATACATCGGGGTTTGGGGCTGGGGGAAGGGGCAGGACCAGCAGCAGCAGATGGGACCCAGATGGAGCGGCCAGGGCAGGGTGGCCTTTCAGGAGGGATGCGACCATCTCTGCCCCTTCACCTTCAGGAGGCTGTCGCATCCTTTCCAAAATGGGGGAAGGGGCTTGCCAGGATCTGCTAGCACATCTGGATGTGGGCAGGCTCAGAACAGGGCTGGCAGAGGGAGCACCAGCAAGCATGAAGCATGTGGCCCTCCTCCTGGCATTGCCTGGCTGTGGGGATGGAGGGATGCTCCTGTCCAGCTGTGGTGATGGAGGGATGCTCCTGCCCTGCGTATCCCTCATGCCACTGCACCCAAGTCACCTTCTCTTCTTGTGGTTTCTCTCTCTTGTGCTTCCTGCCGCCGGGGAGCGAGGGGCCAGGGCCGTGAACTCGTAGCTGTGAAAAGGCTTTTCAATACCGCAGCTCTGATCTTCCTGTTTGTCAGCGTGTCAGTGCCGTGGTCCAGGCCGTAGCCTCTGCCAGGTCTCCTATCACAACCACAGCACTTGGGAACACCAGCCCCGTTCCCAGCACTTCCCCTGCCCCCCAAGCTGTGCCCCTCTCCCTGAGCAACCCCTCTCCCTCCACATCGCTTCCTGGGGTCACTGGGAAGAGCCTGGCTCGGTGGTGAATTGTGGAAGCAGCCGGAGGGGGTTGGAAAGCCTCCGTGGGCGGAGGAGCAGAGGCGAAGCGCAGGGCCCGGAGAGGCTTTCCCCGGCACGTCAGCCCGGGCGACCGCGCTTGGATCGCGGCCCCTGGACCGGGGCCAGGGGGTTGCTGGCGCAGCCGGTGCTGGCCGGGAGCTCCTCCTGGCTGGCCTCCAGCGCGTGCCGCCGGGCTCCATCCCAGCCCAGCTGGCGCGGCCTGGGAAGGAGCAGCAAGAATGTAAACAGCGAGGGCAGCGCGGGGCAGGGGATGCCGTACCCCATCCCCGCTCCTCGCTGGGGAGGAGGCGCCTTAGGGGGAACCCCGCCAGCTCTGGGATGCCAAACCACAGCAGGGTCCCTGCGTGGTGCCTTGCGTGGTTGTGCCAATGTTCTGCTCTGTGAGGGATGGGCTCTTTTGGGGTTCCTTTCTGTTTCTGCCAAGGAGCTCCTCAGCACTGGCAGCACCCCTGCTCTCCCACCAGCCCTGATGCTTCCCCAGCTGTCCAGATCTCCCTGCTGGGAGTTCAGATCCAGTTTGGATTCAGCTCTGGTTATGCTGGTGCCGCCGGCATCCTTGGCCCGTGGGTCTCTGTGCTTGAGAACACCATCCTCACCGAGCAGTGCTGCCATCCAAGTGTCCGTGCCTGTCTCCACACCCAAACTCTGGCAGCCAGGGGCTCGCCCCCATCCTCCACTGCCAGGTTTTATTGACCCATCTGGGACAGATTCCTGTGAACTGGTGCTCGGCTGAGCCGTGGGGGGCCGGAGGGAGGAGGAGGGGGCCCAGTTCAAGGGAGGAGGAAGGGGAGGGCGTGAGGAAGAGTTATGGAGGTGAGGGAGGTTAGGGAGCCGGCGCGTGGCACCTCCCCGTCCCCAGGGACGGCTACTGCACAGGCAGAGGTCAGCTCGCCCTGACCCGGGCGCTGCCGGCGCGGGCAGCAGAACAAAGGAGCCCCCAGCACAACGGGGAATTCGAGGGCAGCGGTTGCCGAGGGCATCGGGGTGGGGGGGAAAGGGGACATTTTCTGGGTGGGAAAAGGCTTGCCATGGGAAATGGCTAAAAATCCAGCAAGCTCCTGCCAGCAAGGGGCTGCTGGGGGTAAAACTGCTCTGAGTTCTGTACCCCAGCACTGTGGGGTTTCTGCTACTGCTGCCCCCCAGGATCCCTCCTCTGATCTTTCTGTTTCATTATTGTTATTACTGCTCCCCACTAATACCGGGAGTGGGAGCCCCTGGTGCAGTGGCAGCCCCTGGGGTTGGAGTTTCCAGCCTCTACCTCTTTAGGAGTTTCCTCTGTTGCTGGTGCACCCTCGGGCGTGGGCACCCTGCACACTGGTACCCCGAGTCACATCGTAGGAGCTCGAGGAATCCATCTCTCCGTGTTCATCTGGCTGCATCAGCCACCACACTCTCCCTCTGGGGTTCTCCATTTTGGGTGCTCTCTTTTGAGGTGTCCTGCAGTGGCTGCTTCAGGCTGATGTTTAACCCCTCCTGTTTCTGCTTCAGGAAGGATTTAAAAAGTCACCACAGTGCCAGTGGGAAGCTGTGCCAGCCAGAGAGGTTTCAGGGGGTGCTGGTGCTTTAGTGGGGCAAGAGGTTTCTCGTGCTGAGGACATCTGAGCCATGCCGGTGGCACATGGGCGCAAAAACCTCAGCCCTTATCTCTGGCGGTGCAACGCACCCCGAGATACGACGTTTCAAAGTGCAGTGGTGGGGGAAAAATAAACCGAAAGCAACTCAGCGACCTCGGCAGCGCTGCGGGGGTGGGTGAAACCGGACCCCCCTCCGCCCAGACCAGCCCCACGCACATGGCTGGTGGAGCTGGGATTTTCCAGGAGGCTCTGGAGGAGCAGAGAGCCCATACCTCCTCTGAATTCCCAGGAGCTGGTTAAAGCGTGGGGGATCCCCTCTGAACCCCTTTCTCCCGTGGATTATTCTCCTTTTCAAAGCCCAAAGCCAGCTGGGGGCGTGGGGCCTGAGCAGGGGCCCCGTGGCCTCTTAACGAGGGCGGGAGGGTCCATTTACTTTCTTTAAAATATTGATTAGAGCTTTATTGCATTAGCCAGCCGAGCGGATGAGCCGCCCCCGGGGAGGGCAAGGGGGCCCCTGTGCGGGGAAGGGGGACCCGAGTATCATCACACGGCCGGGGGCCACTGCCCCCCACCCAGAGTTTGGCTCCCAGATAAGGGGGAGTGCCCTGGGGCCCCCAGTTAGGCGCTGCTGTGCTGTGGAGGTGATTGTGGTGCATGGCCAGGCCAGCAGCAGATAACGCAGGCAAGAGGGGACTTGAGCAGGACAGGACTTTGGGGGCAGTGGGGGAGTCACCAGTGGACCCCTCCTGAGAAAAGGGCTGTGTCCCTCACCCCACACTCAGCCATTGCCCCTCTCACCCTGCACCACTGCCCAGCCTGCCAAGGGGTGCTCCCGGCCGGGGATCCGGCACAGTAATTGGCTCATAGTGCTCAGGGAGCATTCCCGGGGCTGTAATCCCACCAGATCCCTGGCCAGAGGTCAGGGACTTCTCAGCGAGAGCGGCTTAGCCGCTGAGTGCCTCCCCCAGCCAGACGCCTGGGTGCTCACAGGTGCTGGTCCCAGCATCTGGGCACCCGTGAAGCCATTTCTCCAAACACGACCCAGGATGATTAACGAGGTTGAGGAACAGGGGACACATCCTTCCTGCTCCAGGTCCCCAGCCAGTGCCTTCACCCAGCTGGACCGTGCCCCCAGCACCCCTTGTCTCGGGAGCTGGGCATCACCCGCTCGTGTCCCCCAAAAGCCGCATTCCCCGCATGCCTCGACTCTCCCAGAACCTCATTTCCCCCCACCCCTGCCCCCCCCAAAGCCCTGTTCCCTCCACGCCCCAGCCCCCTGGGCTGACTCAAGGGCTGCGGAGGTGGCGGCCGCCTCCCCTCTCGGCACAGCTGAACTAACAGGGTGCCAGTTTAAGGGAAAAAAAAAAAAAAAAAAAAAGAAGAGCGGCGCAGGGAGCGGGGCCTTTGTCAGCAGAGCCCCCCGCCCCCACCACAGCGTTGGGCAAGGACAGCATTGCTCCATCACCCTATTTCTGGCCCAAACCGCAGGAGAAATGGCAGCTGGTCCCAGGGCCCAGCCGGACGTGCTGCAATCGGGGGCCAGGGCGGGGGGTGGTTTGGGGCCAGGGGGGCCCCCTGCTCTGAGCCCCTGGGGCAGCCAGACTAGGGGCTCAGGGTGCAGCTCCTGACCCGTTCCCTGACCCTTCCCATCGGTCACTTAATCTCCCTATGCCTGGGTTCCCACTCTGGCTGGGGCTTGGGATAATCCACCCTGCACTGGGGCTGCTGGAGGCCGGGGCTCACCCCTGAGGAGAGTCCCCTGCTCCCCATCCGTCCCACGGGGAGAGTGTGGCCGTGTTTCTTCTGTGGCATAGTCCTTTGGGAAAGGGCTTCCCTGTCCCCCCACAGCAGCTGGCTTGGAGTCTCACTGTGCTACAGATGGCAGTGGGAGCACCCAGGCACCCTAAACCCCTTCAACAAAGGGCTTCACCTCCTGCCTCTGTTTTCCCTACCTGCCCACGTCCACTGTGGAGCCTCCAACTTGGGCACCAGTGCCTGATTTTGGAGATTCCAGTGTGGGACACGC